TTTATTTTGAAAGTATGCGGGTAAAGAGAACTTTTGATCTTATAGTTTATGAATTAGGATTCTTGATCTTACACTGTATAAACATCAGTTTCAGTTTTATTTAGCAATGAAAGAAAGACGTTGAAGAGGTGTATAGGTGACAGAAGACTGATGATCATGCAGTACAAAAATCTTGTATTTTTCGATCAACAAAAAGAAAAAAACTATGGTAATATATGATGAATAAACACTATAAACAATAAAAAAATTTTTTTTCCAGTTTCTTCTCGACTTTTCTAGTCTTATTACTAGCAAAAAAAAGAAGAAATTTTTTTTTTTTTTGTTGTTTTGCATATATATCTTAAAAAAATTGTGCACAACCATCAACCGTCATCATCGCTATCGCCACCATCACCACCACTGGCTCGATCTTGTTGCCCGTCATCACAACAAACACAACAATGACATCTATCAAATTTAAAAAAAAGGTTAGAAAAAAAAGGCTTTTTATTTTTTTTAAACAACATTCAAATTCTATCGTGCATTTTGTGTTTCCTAAAAATTAAGTTTTTTGAAAAACTTTGAAAAAAAAAAAACAGTTCGCGAAAATCAACTTTACAACGGTAAAAAAAAATTTGGTTAATCAATATCGTTGTTATGCAACAGTTTTCACATCGTTCTTGATTTTCTTCTCAATACTTTCTCTTATCCATCTTATTCAGTACCATACGGTTTCGTAAATAAACCGTAAAAGAACGACAAATTAGCGCAAAAAAATGTAAGTTGTCATAAATGCAGTATCAGCCAATAAAGTCAGTCTTACAGTGATAAACTAGACTAACTGAATCTGTTGACATGTTGCCACTTGATGAATACTGTTTGCTTAGTACTTTTTTGTTCAGCCTATTTTTCTTTTCTAGTCAACTGCAAAAAGCTAAATTCAGTCAGGCAGGCAAGCAAGCATTTTTGTTGACAACAGTCTATTTTTTTTTTTTTTTTATAAAGTAAAAAGCAATTTGTCTTCTTCTTCAAGAAAAAAAAAATAAATAAATAAAAGAAAGCCTAAATTTTTGAAAAATTTGGTCATCATAAACAATTAACTGTTGAGAACTGCAATGTTTTAAGTTTTTTTTAAAAATTTATGCACAGCTAATCTGAACCCACTGCTGTCTGTTTCAGTGAATGACAAGATATTTGCACAAAAATGGCGTTCATCTACACACAACATTGTTTCAGCTGTATCAACATTTTTGAATGGTTAATTGTAAACAAAAAGTAATAAAAAAAAACAATTAAACATTTTTGGAACGAAAAAATAGAAAAAAAAAAACTAATTAAGGTCTAAAAATGATAAAAGTGAAATAAATATTTGGCTAAGAATAAAGCAAAAAATTTTACTTTTGGCATAAAAATAGGTTTAGTGTAAAAAACAAAAATTAGAATATTTTATATACGGCGCCATACATATAAAACAGCCATAAGAAGGAAAAAAAAAGGGGTGTTTGGAAATACTAACAAAGTTCTAAGATGAAAAGAAGTTCATCTGATCTTTGTAACCATACCATCAAGCAAATAACTTTTCTCTGAAATTTCCCTCCTGCTCATCTCCAATTTTTGTCGTCTTTTCATCAAATACTATCATATTTTTGTCATCTGTACAATCTTCTGCCACATTACCGCTTTTGATACCACGTTGAATACCACAAATAACTTTTTTTTTTTGGTCAGTCAGATCACTGCAATTTGCTGATTGTTCTTCCAAAGTTCCCAAGACAACAATTAGCTGAATCCAAATATGTTTTGTGTCTGATATTTGAGGACAAAAAAAAAGTGAACTGTAGCCCATACAAAAACTATCATCTGAAGGCCACGTCTTACACTGTTTGTTCGACGAACATTGATTTCTAGAACGGGAGACAAAAAGCAAAAATATACCTCCAAAAGACCTGCAACTGTAAAACGAAAGACTGTGATTCAGAAGAAATTCCAATACACTACCAACTACTTCGATCAAAGAAAGTTCATTGTTCAGGCTAATTATAGCGGCAAACACGTGTTTTCACTTAGACAGATTGTTCGGGAACAATAATTTACGACTAGAAAAGTTTTTATTTTCTTGCCCACGACAGCGGACCTGCCCTTTAAAGTGCCGCAGAATACTGTCTGATCATTGAGAGTGTAGCAATGCAAACAGTTCGCTTCAATATTTGCGTCAGCGTGACAGGTGGAAACGATATTAGAAAAATAAAAGTTCCTTTGATGAACGGGTTGGGTACAGATAAAAAACTTGAAGAGAGAGTCGTTAACGAACCATTTTAGACCCCAAAAGCATCCTAAAGTGTTGCTGGCAAAAACCAGTTTATCGTGATTATAATATTCATTGGTCAGGATCAAATGTGTAAAAAGAAAAGTAGAGACAATTTTAGGAGTGTAAAACTGTGCGGGAAGAAAACGATGTTGTTGATGACGGAACTGGCGGCATTGGTGCTTAAATAGATTGGTTTACAAATTTTTAAATTGAAATTTTAATTCTTGACCCAACAGTTTCGATGCCTACCAGTAGGGAAACCGGAAAACAATACAATAAATCACTGGATTGAATCTTTCAATAGTTTATTTGGTGATTTTGACCTGGAGCTGTTCCTTGTTTTGGTAGCAAAGTTGTGTCCTAATACGTTTTGTCAGAAAGATCTTTCAATGAAAATTTGGAACTAAAAAGGTAAAAAAGAAGTAGGAGAAGAAAGATGACATATGCTAAAAATCCATCTTTATTTCCATTTCTTTCTTTTTTCGTTACCAACAAAAAGCTGTATGCATCAACATTTTCCGTGAATGAATAAAACTGCAGCTTTTGACTGGCCGGCCATACAACAATTGTCTGAAAAAAAAGTAACTCAAGGAAGATGACTTTGTTCCTTTGCATTAAATAAAAATGGGTGCGAAATCGACTCCTGGACTATTTATACAAATTCAGACAAATTCTGGGGCAGAATGACAAGAAAAATTGGCACAAACAA